CCTGCGCCCGGCACGAGCGCCGAAATCCCGGCTTCGCCGCGAGCCCTCCCCGCGGGGCATCCGCAGCGCCCCTGCTCCCATCTCCGCGAGCGCGGCATGGCGCGGCCGGCAGCGCCGAGGGAGAGGCTCCGCTCGCCGCCGAGAAGAAAGGAGGTCAGGAGAGCTGTGGAGCTTTTTTTTCTGCTCGGAAAAAATCCCGGTACGCGGGAGCCCTGAGCTTCTGCGGCTGGAATGAACCAAGTGTCCGCCTGGCCGGGGAGAGGCGCGCTGCGCTCTCGGAAATGACTCGCTCCAATCCCGCTTCGCGGGGTTCGCGCCGGGGGGCGGGGGGGGTGAATTATCCCCGGATTAATCACTCTGGAGCCGCTTCGCCGCCGCTCCAAATGCTGGGGGTGGAGGCGCAGCCAACGAAAAAAATATTTGGGGGTGGGGGTTCCTCTTCAGCACCACCTACACCTCCAGATAAACCACAAATTACATCTAAAGGGTTGTTTGTTCCTGTTTGTTTTACAATTAACCAGTTCCTTTTAAGTTCAGTCCTCTCCTTTCCATTTATAAGATCACCCATTAATACACCTCCCAGACACACAGGCACACACACAAACAGTGATACATACAGACACACGACTCATACACACAGGCACACACGCCGCTTCCACGTTCGGAAATCGGAACACTGTCTGGGCAAAGGTAACCAAAGAAGAATGCGGTTCCCAAGTCAGCGCTCTTACGAGATGATCTTGGGTAGTGGTTTTGAACTTGCAATCTGGGGCCGGGGACAGGAAGCGCTGAGGAGCCCCATTAGCAAGAGCCTCCTACCCCATCCCAGGAGAGGGGCGTGTGTGCGTAGACCCAAGCTGGGTTAAGAAATTGGAGGGGGGAGGCTGTTCATTTGACTCAGTGCGGACCTACCCCACCCCTCAGACAAAATCTCTGGATGGAAGGAGGAGTGCATGTCTGCGGGCAGTGGGGAGCGAACTGGTGGACCGACGGGTACCAAGAGTTACTCGTACAATTTATCCTCAAAATTAACGGGACCCTGCCTCTCCCCCTCCACGCCATGGCCCCAAACCAAGCTCGTTTTTCCCAATGGCGTGAGCCGCTTCCCACCTCCCCCCGGTCACCGCTGCCTGTCTGCAAGCCCCAAGGGCTCAACCGCGGTCCTCACCCCATCCCCCACCCCGACTCGGCCGCTGTCTCGGTCTTGTCTCCACTAGGCTCCTCCGTCAGTCACGTTGGCTCCTTCGCTGTCTACGCCAAACTCTAGGCGAGAGGGAAGCTGCGCTGCGGGGGGAGGGGGGCAGGGCTGGCGATGGGGGAGGGGAAAGGCCTGAGAAGGAGGCCCTGGCTGGTGTGCCCAGGGGAGAGGCACCTGCTGACCGGCACCCCCGTCCCTTTGCTGGAGGCATCCAAGAGAGGCCGCTCTCAGGGCTTAGCGAGCTGCGCGGTTTGGCCAAGCCGGACCTCTGGCAACTGCGAAGCCCAGGGGGGCAGTGGCCGGCGGTGGTCGCAGCCTGGGAATTTTGGGGAAGGGCGTGAAGAGGGGCGAATGGCTCGCCGACCCGGGGAGAGGACAGGGCCGGAGGAGATGTTTGCCTTTGCTCCTCAAGAAAAACTTGCTCCCCCAGAGCCATGCTCTCGCAGCCTCCTGGACGCCCCCCACCAAGTTGTTCCGGTTTCCCAGCATGAGCTCATCCCGCAGCTGGGGAGCCGGCCCGGTGGCCCCCGGAGGGCAAGCCTCCTCAGAATCGCCGGCCCCATCCGCACCCCCCAACGCACTTGCTTTCCCGCCCCTCCCGACGCGGGCTCGCTGGGTGCCAAGAACCAACCAAAGCAGCCAGAACTTCTCAGTGAAAGGCCCGCTTTATGTCCTGGGGAAGCGGGGAGGGGGCTTTTCGCTCCTCATTGTCAAGACCCAGCCCCTGAAGGCGAGGGCTCAGCCAGCCACGACTGGCCGTGGCCTTCCCACCAGCCCCGAAGAGGAGGGAGGGACTGGCTGTGTGGTGAGTGGTGGCCTGCCCACCGTGGGGGCTGGTGGCTGGACCTTCTCTGGGCTGGGCTCCTGGCTCCTGAGCTTTGGGCCTTCATCTCTCCTGGGGGCGGGGCTTCCTGGAGAGAAAGGAACTGGCAAAGAAGCCCCTGCCTGCTCTGCAGCCCACAGCTGGGCAAAAGAGGGCCTGGGCTGCTCCAGGATTGGGGGTGCCAAGCCAGTGGACTTCCCCACCCCCTCTGGGCCCCAGAACTTTGCTCTGGGGTTGCCACCAGCAGCTGAGGTTTCCCCCAAAAACTCTTCCTGGCAAAATGAGCATTTGTCATTCCTCTTGCAGGGGGCTGTGGAGGGCAGGAGCACCCTTTTTATCCCTGTAAATGGCCCAGTTACTCACATCCTCTGCCATCCATCCCTTCCTCTGATCTATTTAGGTACACATGCGTTTACTGAGTGCCTCCTGAGCTCAGGTCCTGTGCAGTGGCTGTGCTGTGGGCAACACAGAGATGCACTGTGTGTGGTCCCAGCTGGGAAGGAAGTGGGGCAGAGATGGGAACCCGCACAGAGCTGATACAAGTCAGACAGCATCAGCACCACGACAGAGAAGTAAAGGCATGTTACATTGAAACGTATCAAGAAAGTAAGCTTTTCTTGGACTTGGGGGATTGGAAAGCTAATTTAATGAGAGAAGTAGGATTTTGGCTGGACCCAGAAACCTGGATAGGAACGTAGTATGAAGATTCACTTACTTAACAAATATTTATTGAGCATCACTACATGCCAGGACACTATGCTAGATACTCAAGATACACCCCAGTGAACAGTCCCTGCTTTGATGGAAACAAACAAACAAACCCATTGCCGTTGAGTCAATTCCAACTCATGGCAACCCCAGGTGTTCAGAGCATAACTGCTCCATAGAGTTTTCTTGGCTGTAATCTTTTATGAGAGCAGTTCATCAGGCCTGGACGGGCTTGAACTACCAACCTTTAGGTTAGCAGCTGGTCACAAACCATTTGCACCACCCAGGCTCCATCGTTGATGAAGGCAGGCAATCAATAAACATATGTGAAGTTACAAATTAAACATGCTATAACAAAAGTGCATGGTGATATGAGGAAGAATAAGGGGACAGGCTTTAAATAGGTGATCAGGGAAGGCCTCTCTGAGGTGGTGACCTTAAAGATGGGATCTAAAAATAAATAAGACAGTTCTGCAAAAAGCTAAGAAAGGGCTTTTGGGACAGAACATGGACAAAGACCTTGAAGAGCAAAGGGGACAGACAGAAGGAGAGTGGGACTGGATGGAGGTGAGCAAGGGAAGAAGGGCAGGAGATGAGGGAGGGGAGGCAGGCAGGAGCTAGATCATGCAGGGACTCATAGGGAGTGGTGAAGAGTTTAGATTTTATTCTTAGGCAATGGGGAATAGGAGGGAAGACTTTTCAGGTAGAGAGAGGAAATAAAGCAAATGTATGACAGAATATATATTTAAAGAGATAGCTATTGTGATGTGTGTCAACTTGGCTGGGCCACAATTCTCAGTAGTTTGGCAGTTATGTAATGACGTAATTTGGCAGTTTTGTAATGATGTAGTCATCCTCCATGATGTGATCTGATGTGATCAGCCAATCAGTTGTAAGGGGTGTGGCCTGCACCCAATATATATGGACATTCTGGCAAAGCTCAATGGCTTTTGCTCGCTTTGGCTTTTGCTCTGCTGCATCTGGTTCACCATCATCTGATCTCAGGTTCGGACTTGAGTCAGCAGCCTGCCATATTGCTTGCCATCCTTGGGATTCGTCGGCCTCCATAGCCTGTAAGCCTGCAGCCTGCCGTCTTACCTGCTGATCTTGGATTCATCAGCCTCCGTAGCCCGTAAGCTAGCAGCCTGCCATCTGACCCGCCAGTCTTGCGTTAATCAGCCCCTGAAGCTACATTAGTCAGGAGAAGCCTCCAGCCTGATGCCTGCCCCATGGACCTGGGACTTGCCATCCTCTACAACCAAGTGAGCCATTTCCTTGAGATAAATCTCTCTCTCTTTCTCTCTCTCTCTGTATATATATATGTATATATGTGTGTGTATACTGGTGCCCTGGTGGCGCAGTGGTTAACAGCTCAGCTGCTAACTAAAAGGTCAGCGGTTTGAATCCATCAGCCATTCCTTGGAAACCCTATGGGGCAGTTCTACTCTGTCCTATAGGGTCGATATGACTCAGAATCGACTCAACAGCAATGGATTTGTGTGTGTGTGTGTGTGTGTGTGTGTGTGTGTGTGTGTGTGCTTCACTGGTTTTGCTTCTCTAGAGAACCAGCCTACGACTGTGTATAGCGTGGCTGTTTTAGCAGGGAATGGAAGCCAAGTAACACGATGTGGGATGTACTCTGGCTTCTCTATAGGGAACAGATAGGAAGGGAAGGGGCAGACGAAGGGAGATCACTTGAGAGGCTACTGCAATAGTCCAAGCCAGGAGTAATGTGGATGAAGGCAGAGATGGGGCCTTGGAAACGTTTGCAGGGCAGGATAGAGACAGGAATGAAAGAGATGACAGCAGCCTTCCTCCCACTAGCCTAGGGGAGTGTGGCTCTCAGCTCAGCCCCCAGAGCTGGCTCCCTGCCTGCCCCTTCTGTTCTCCGAGCACCCTTTCCATTCTCCCAGTAAGCAACAGGCAGCCATGGGTCATGGTTTCTCCACAACATTACACTGCAAAAAGCCCAATGCAGTATAGGGACTCACCAAGATAAACCTAATATCCAGATAAGATCAGAGTTCGTTGTAGAAAGAAAACAAGACCTTGATGCTCCAGGAGAACTCAGCCTGATTCAAGTAGGGGCTGTAGACTTGATGCCCTGAAATTTTCACTCAGACTCAAGAAGAAAATAAAAGAGGCTTCTGAAGCCAAGAGACGACAGAGAGAGCAAATGGAATGCTCTGGCAATGTGAGGCCGAAATGGAGACAGCAGCTGAAGGAGGCAGAGGGGCAAGCAGGACAGCAGAGAAGGGCCACAGAGCAAAGCTCAAAGGAAAAGCTTGGGATCGGAGTTGGGGGTGAGGGGTGGGGGAGTTTTAAATCATGAACGTGATTAGACAGAAGCTAATATTTCCCAAGGGCAA